CATCCCCATCCTCATCCCTATTCGCATCCCCATCCCATCTCCATCCCCACCCCTATTCCCATCTCCTTCCCCATCCCCACACCAACGCAGCTCCTGTGCACTTTGGGTTCACCCCCCCGGTGTCAGGAAGGGGCTGAGCTGATTTTGGGTGCTGTCTGGGCACGGCTGTGGGATTCCTCCCCCCCCGTGTGTCCCCGTGGCAATGCCGTGGCTCGGCCGTTCCGTGTGGCTGTCTCCAGACACACATTTCCATTACCCGGCCTCTGCAAAGCCATCTCCCGATCGATAGCGGCGCCTTTATCCCCGATTGATCGATCGACCGATGGAGCAGAGCTCTGCCAGACCCAGGCACCGCTGCTCCCGTCCCCTCGATGCCGAGCCGGGTCGGGGCTGCTGGTGTGATGGAGCGGGGCCGGCTGGGTTTGGGCTCCTCTGTGCACAGGGGAAGGGGCTGCGTGGGTTCCTCTGCCCCTCATCCCACCGCACAGCTCGCGTCTCACTCCTAATCTCCTATTTTCCCATTTAATCCCTCGGACTCCTCTCCCTCTCCTCCTCTTCTCCCTTCCCTCTCTCCTCCCCCCCCCCCCCCCCCCCCCCCCCCCCCCCCCCCCCCCCCCCCCCCCCCCCCCTCCCCGCAAGACAAATTACCCTTAATGATATGCTGAAGGCCATGACACCCATGTTGTCTCTTTGTCATCCTTCGCGGTGCAGTGTGAAAAGATAATACAAAATGCGGCACTTATCTACAATTGAGAGCCAAGACAACTTGCTAATCCCTTAATAACGCTCCGCCGAGGGCCCCATTGGCTGCGGCTCGGGGCTCCTGTGGCTGCATGCAAAATCACTGCCAAGGTCTGGGTTGCTCCGTGCAGCCGGCGCTGCCTGCAGGGACTGCTCTGCTCCAAGCCCAGAGTGCTGATGGAGGGCTGTGGGGAGAGGAGACCCCGGTGTTATCATGTTGGGTCTCATCCTAAATGCTGCGCATGCAAAACTCCATCCCTGATGTGGTTGGGGGGGGGGGGGGTGTTTTTAATCCTTCCGTGCTCAGCTTGCTGCTTTGGGTGCCCCGGGGGGGGGGGGTTTGCACCCCTGTGCAAATCTGTCTGCAACGAGCAGCGCTGCAGCGCTGCAACCCAGGAGCTGCACCCGCAGCATCCACAGAACTGCTGCACTCGTTGCATCCCTTCGCCCATGCCATCCCTGCACCCATTGCATCCCTGCACTCACAGCATCGCTGCTCCCACGGCCTGGCACTGAGATGCTGGACGCAGTGATCCCGTCGTCCCCCCGCCCCGCACTGCTGTGACGGACAGAAATTGCCACTTAATTTCCGGCTTCCTTTCCCCTTCCCCACCCCCGCTGTGATTTACTTCTCCCCGGAGGAGCCCAAAAGCTGTAAACACACTTTTATTTGTCAGTTGTATCCCTGCAGCCTGCAAGGCTGTTGAAAAGGTAATATATGATTTCAGTCCTCTTTGCTTGATGATGTCGGGATTAGGAGCCCTACATATTTTATAGAAACCTCTACATGATCTTCCTTTATAAATCATTTAAATAGGAGTGTCTTTTCTTGGTGTGTGATATAAAATATTTACTGGAGTGGATGAAGGCTATTCATCCGTGTTTACCCTCCTGCCTACAGCCCAGTTCCATTTACCAACAGCCCGGCACGGCGCGGCCCTTCGTGCTGCCCGGCAGGATGTGGCTGAAGCCCCACAGTGCTGGGGATGTCAGTGCTGGGGATGTCGGTGCTGGGGATGTTGGAGCTGGAGCTGCACTGTGTGCAGGGGTTGGTGCATCACACAGCTCCATTTGGCCTCCAGAAGGAATGGTTTTGGTGCAGCAGCTCAGCGCGCGGCATCCCACGAGCTGGGTATCCATGATGGCATCATCCTCTGCAACGCTGGCAGCTCCTGTCCCCGTCCCCAGCCCCTCAGCAG